AACGTGTCTCCACAAAGGGTCCATTACATTATATCACTGTTTAAAATAGCAGAAAGGCAAAAGTCTGCTCAAAGAGGATGGGCTAAATAATTATGATAAATTCACATGGTGGAATAGTTTTCAGGCATTAAAAATCATGTCTTCCTACAGCAGGCACTAGGTTGTGGGCACTCATTCTATGAGGCTATAGTTACCCAAAAGAGTTTAAAAATTATTTTTGCTGAGGATAATGGCTTCCAACTCCACCCATGTCCCTACAAAGAACAGGGTCTTGATTCAATGCCATCCCCATTAAGCTACCAATGACTTTCTTCACAGAATTGGAAAAAACTGCTTTAAAGTTCATATGGAACCAAAAAAGACGCCCAGTGCCACAGAGCGAGCGCGAGAGCAGAGAGAGAGACGAAAGCGCGAGGCAGCGACGCGTGACCTGCTGCGAGAGAGCGGAGCGAGCAAGAGCAGGTAACGAGAGGCGGGCGGAGGAGCGGGGGTGCGGCGGAAACGAGGGATGAGGCAGGGGAAGGAGAGGCAGGAGCGCTCAGGAAATTGAATGTACGGAGGCAAAGGGCGGACGAGGGGCGCAGGGCGGATCTTTGGCGAAAGATCTGAGCGAGAGAGCAAGGAGAGGAGAGAGACCGGTAGAGAGAATGGCTGAGAAATGTGGCTAGGCCATAGAGTAGAGAAGGCGGGAGAACGGAGGCGCGCCGACGCGTTAGAGGCGGAGAAAGTGGGAGAGGGCGAAGGGATGAGAGACTTAGAATGGACGAAGAACCATGAAAGAACCGCGTAGAGAAAAAAGCCGTAGGAATAGCCAGTTCAGAGCAGGTGTGTAGGGCGAGATGGTGGCGAGGCGGTGTCACGTGCGGAGACGGAGTCCGAACGCGGAGGCGAGGACAAAGAGGCGGCGGGAGGTAGAGGAGCAGAGGGATGGTGATCGAATTAGAGAGCGGAGAAGAGCGGGCAGCGAGCGAGAGAAGACTGACATCGAGGAGGGGAACGAGCGAAGGCCGTACAGAACGGTGAGAAATTTTGCAAGCCTACTCATCTGGACAAGTGGCTAATAGCCAGGGAGAGCCTCAGAAAGAATCGCAGAACGAGAGAGGACGGAGGGGAGAAAAGGCAGAAGAGACGCGCGAGTCAAAAGGGCGAGAGAGGGATGAACAGACATTCTCAAAGAGAGAGCGAGGGCATGAGCAGCGAAGGAGCAGCGAGGAAGAAGAGGAGGCGCGCGAGGCGGGCGCGGAGTCGCGAGAGAAAGCAAGGATCAAACAGCAGAGTGAGGAGACGCAGGCGCGCGGACGAGCGCGTTAGAAGAGGGGCGAGAGGAAGGCAGGAAGCGAAAGCGCGAGGGTGCTGGAGGAGGAGGAAGAGGAATGTGTAGGAAGCAGGTTTGAGCAGCTGGTGTGGTGGAGGGTAAAGCTGGTGTTCAACCGATGGTGGAGAAAGCGGTGAGCGATCGCAAGGTGCGATAGAAGCTGTGTGTAGAAAGTGTGAGCATGATGAGCGCCAGCCGATGTCCCGGATTACGTGGTAGGATACCCAAAGGATGTGAGTGAAGTATCATGCTGCTTATAAAGAGACACATGAACACAGATGTTTAGGCAGCACTATTCCACAATAGCAAGAGACTTGGAGAGGTCAACCCGCGAAAGCGATCAGGAGAGAGTCGGGGATAAAGGAAGGAAGGAGCGAGGTAGGACAGCAATGGAGAGACTGTGTAGAAGGCCAGAGAAAGGAGAGAGAGAGAGCAGGGCGGGTAGGACGGAGAGGGGCAGCGAGAAGACCGAGCGAGGCAGCAGAGAGGTGAGCGGACGAGAAAGCAAACAGCGCAGGCGGCGAGCGTGCAGGAGGAAGACAATGAGAGCGAGCGCGCGAGAGGGAGGAGCGGGAGGGAGCACGACGGGGCGGCGACTGGATGGGATGTGGGGAGGGCATGTGGGTTGGGTGTTGGCGCGAGAAGATGGAACGAGTTGATGGGCTGTGAGTTGATGGTGGCAAGCACACCACATGGCACATAGGGTTGTATAGGAGTATGTAACAAACCTACACGTTGTGGCACATGTACCTAGGACTATAAAGTATAAAAAAAAAAAAAAAAAAGACATGGTCTCTATTCTTTTTTTATGGCTGCATAGATTCCATGGTGTATATGTACCACATTTTCTTTATCCAGTCTGTCACTGATGGGCATTTAGGTTGGTTCCATGTCTTTTCTATTGTGAATAGTGCTGCAGCGAACATACATGTGCATGTATCTTTATGACAGGATGATTTATATTCCCTTGGGTATATAGCCAGTAATGGGATTGCTGGGCCACATGCTATTTCTGCCTCTAGGTCTTTGAGCAGTCACCATGCTGTCTTCCACAATGGTTGAACTAATTTACACTCCCCACCACCAACAGTGTAAAAGCATTCTCTTTCTCCACAACCTTGCCAGCATCTGTTGTTTTGACTTTTTAATAATAGCAGAATGGCTATTTTTAAAAAGTTAAAAAACAGAAGGTGCTGGTGAGACTGTGGAGAAAAGGGAATGCTTATACACTATTGCTGGGAACGTAATTAGTTCAGCTACTGTGCAGGGCCATTGGAGGCCTCTCAGAGAACTTAAAACAGAACTACCATTCAAAAAAGAAAATAATCATTCTACCAAAAAGACACATGCACTCATATGTTCATTGCAGCACTATTCACTGTAGCAAAGTCACTGAATCAACCTTGTGCCCATTAGCGGTGGCCTGGATAAAGAAAATGTGGTACATATACACCATGGAATACCATGCAGCCATAAAAAAAGAACATGGATGCAGCTGGAGCCATTGTCCTAAGTGAATTAACACAGGAACAGAGAACCAAATACTCCATGTTCCCACCTATAAGTGGGAGCTAAACAGTAGGTACTCATGGGTGTAAAGATGATGACAGTAGACACTGGGGACTAATATTAATAGATGGGGGAGGGAGGGAATGGGGCAAGGGTTGAAAAACTAACTATTGGATACTAAGCTCCCTGCCTGGGTGACAGAATAAATTATACCCCAAACCTCAGCATCACGCAATGTACTCATGCAGGGACATGGATGGAGTTGGAAGCCATTATCCTCAGCAAACTAATGCAGGAACAGAAAACCAATCACCACATGTTCTCACTTGTAAGTGGGAACTGAATGATAAGAATACGTGGACACAGGGAGGGGAACAAACACACTGGCGCCTGTCAGAGAGGAGGAATGAGGGGAGGGAGAGCATCAGGAAGAGTAGCTAAAGGATGCTGGGATTCATACCTAGGTGATGGGATGATCTGTGCAGCAAACCACCATGGCACATGTTTACCTATGGAACAAACCTGTACATCCTGCACGTGTACTCCTGAACTTAAAATAAAAGTTGAAGAAAAAATATAAAATAATTTTTAAATAGCCATTCTGACTGGTGTGAGATGGTATCTCACCGTAGTTTTGATTTTCTGCACAGTATTTTTGACACCTCTGTCAATGAGAACTATGTTTATAATCACATTTTTGAAATGAACAAAGTGGAAATTCAAAAATAAAAAAAATTTTAAACTTTTTTGGGTAACTATAGCCTCATAGAGTGAGTGCCCAGCAACCTAATCCCTGCCCTAGGAGGACAAGGCCAGCGTGGGTGTGGAAATCCTGGTGTGCCTGCTCAGCATTTCATGTCTGTAGACCAAGGCTTCCTCTACTAGAAAAAAAGAAGTTTTGACAAGATAGTCTGAAATTTCCTCCCTGTCCTAAAATATTCCCTTTTAAGTCATATCTTATTTAAATCACTGAAATATGCAAAGGATGAACTGAGACTCAAACTCTAACAAGTGTTCTCAAGGGTGATTTCCAGAATTGTTGCTTAATCCCACTCCCAGCCCCACATGGAGAGGGGAAACAGGTACAGAGGTGTCAGGATGATCACAAATCATTTCCACGCTCTTTATTAAGGTAGCCCTGAAATTCAGTGACTGCCAGAATTGCTTTCTAGTTGGAAACTTGCCCTCTCGTCCTTGGCAAGTTACAATTTAAGGTGAGTAAAGTAATACATTTGACTTATTTTAACTGCCCTCAAGGGCAGACTCCAAGAAAGCAGCAGAACGATTCTGCAAGCTGGTGCTTGTGAACAATGCTGGGGCTACTGGCGTGTCCTGCATGGAGCTCTGGGTGGCGCTCCAAAGACACAGAGAAGAGCAGCTTCTGTCAGATGTAGAGGGAAGCACTTAACTAGTGCTGGCACATTATATGTATTTTATCATTTAGTCCTTACAAAAAGCTTCTGAGGTATCTATTATCATCTCCATTTTACAGGTGAGAAAATTTAAGAACAGCAATATTGCAACTCAGAGAAGTAGATGCCCTCAAAATAACTCACTTGTGTAATAATCCACAAAATAAGTCCATTTTAAGTAAAAACGTTAAATTCTAAATATCAACAGACTATCTGACTTAAAACTGTGGTTTTTATTGCTTATAAAAAAGGAATGTCTCTTTAAACAAATTAAATGGTTATTTTTACTAAGAATCAAGTGATAAGAACAGTGTGATGGAATGTTCTGTCCTGTAGACCTCATAAATGTCTATCAAGTACAAAAATGTTGAGAACTTGGGACAAATCTTTAAATTTAGCATTATAATTAGCTTCAACATTGCATAACTCTAAATAACTTTTCCTGAGACCTGTCTTTTCAAACCCCCCCAAAACAAAAGGAAAATGAAAACTTCAATTAATTGCACAGTGTGCCTCAAAGATGACTATCTCCCTCCGCACATCTTAGCCTCTCTTCACTGCCTTCCGCCACTTGGTTACTTAAGTGCTTTGACAAGTATGACAAGCTTGCACAGCGTGTTCTGACTTCAAGAGCAACACATCTCTGCAGGCATTCCCTTCTAAACACTGCTTCTGTAAAACTTCAATTATTCTATGCCGACATTTACATTTTTACCAAGTTGGCCAATTTATTCCATTATTAGTTGTTAGAAGCGAACACTTACTTCCTTCAACTTCCTTATCTTTGCAGGTTTTCGGGGAACTATATGAATATAACTGCAAAAGAAGAAAGAAGAAAACATCATTAGAAGGAAGATATTTACACAGAAAGTTCCAGACTCTTTAGAAATGAGTCCTTTTCCGGCTTAATAGATACAACCCCACGGCAATTTGGAACTAGAATCTAAAATTGTCTCGGTGTTAGAATCCACATCAGAATACAATAGCAATGCTGTTGTAGGACAGTTTTCACACTGGGTACCACTGGCACTGCCCCTTGAAAGTGTCTCTTAAGTGACATTGCTTTCCCTCATGTAATTTTATTAAAGAGAAACCTGAGAAATCATCGAATTCAACAGCATTTTTTAACCAGGTCGCTGAAGGCCCAGAACTGCAAGCTCATCAGTGTTCCCATGACAGGCTAAGGTCGGACCAGAAACCCAGACTCTCCTCCAGCTCCTCTGCAGCCCCACTGCTCCCTCCTGGCTCACAGAAATTCAACACTGCTCCCCTTTTGCCAAAACTGCAAACTGGAAAAGAGTCACCAGCATAAAATGTGTCTGAGCCCTACTAATGCAATGTTTTTTTACTGTTGGGGACTTTGGGGACTTCCATGTTCCTCAAAAATAAAATGTTTTCACGGGTAATAAATAATACCTTCAAATTTATATGTGATACTAAGGTTTCTTCCTGATTTAAAAAAAATATGTATTTGAGATTGTTATTGTTTTTGATAGTCTTAGCAATATTTAGAGAAGGGTCAACTTATACTGGTAAATAGAAGGGGAAGAAATAACTAAGTGTTCAATAAAGAGTCACAGACGCAGATCCCCACAGAAACTGGTCAAGTAAATGATGACACTCGCCAAGGGTGGTCTCAGGGACTGGTGGGGGCTGTGGCCAGTGGGAGCGTCCCTTCCCTTCTGGGGTGGACAGGGCCTCACACGTCCAGATACTGGAGATGCACGCAACTACAACCAAGTCCTCTGAACAATCAAATCCTCTATTTTTTCCAAGGGAGACCAAAAGTTCATATTATTACATGAATTCTCCCAAATATAAAATGCTGCAGCCAACTCAAATCTTCGAAAATTGTGTGAACCAAACAAAACATGGCTGCTGGCTGAGTTCGGCCTGAGCCTCTCCACTTGCCTGGAGGCCCTTGTAGCCACTCTTCACTAGCTAGTCTAGTTTTCATCTTTTCCAAATAAATATTTTAAATTTGTTCTAAATTCCCAAATTCCATCTTTGTTTATGAACACTAATCTCCCAAATGAGACATCTGACTTTCATTACATGGAACCAAAAAATAAAATTTAACACAGAAAAACACATAAAAAGATCCTACAAAAACACAAAATACTATTTATTATTTCAATGTTGCGCTCCCAAGAACATACAAAAACAGAAAGAAAAGACAAATAGTTCCTCAGAGAGCCCATGACCTGAGGTCTTTAACCCAGGCACTTAGAGAAGCCTGCTGGGTGGGCTTGGCATGCCTTGAGGTGGGCAGGGAGTAGGTCTGTGAAGCTGAGATGGGACCAGCAGGTGCAAGCTCCCTCCTGGCTACTTCCAGAGAACAAAGGAAGAGAAGAAACCATCCATGAGAACCAGTGCCAGGCACTTTACCGTACGGCATTCATTCCATTCTCCCAACCATACCGCAGAATGGATGTTAAGCCTGCTTTATTGATGAGGACACCAAGTCTTGGAGAGGTTATTTAACTTGTTAAACATTACTCAGGTAGAGAAAGCCAGGATTAAATTCCACCAGTCTCTGGCTCTGAGGCTCTGAAGCCAGCATTCCTGTCATCTATCACAACTTTTCCTCTTTCTCCTGTCATCTGCTAGTTCCCAGGTACAAATGGGTGGCCAGGGAGATGAGAAGAAAAAGCTGGGTTGAGGAAGAATGAGGATGGTTTGATTCAAATAGCACATTCACACTCATGTCTCAGCAACCAGCTCTAAGGTAAACAGGGTAATGTTCCTAAGCATTCAAATTCTTTGGGGTCCCGCCCCTAAACACACACAGACACATACGCACACACACACACATGCGTGCACACATACGCAACACCCTGATTTAGATTTTGTTGTAAATATGACTTTCTCCACAAAAGAAATATTAATTCTAGGCTATAAAGCCTAGACACTTTAAATTGTTTTGAAAAGTAAATATTATAATATTTTGTTTTATAAAGAAAAAAATTATGTTCTTTGGGTCTCAAATTATTTTATTCCAGGAAATGTCTGAGTAATGATTGGATATTGGATAGATTTGTTGACGTTTGTCTTTTTAATGCACCGTCTCGAAACCACTATTACGAGGGGAGCTCCCGGATCACTAACATATCAACAGGCTTCACTTCAAAGTCCATTTGCTGGTGACACAATTAGAATATTGTTTTCCGGTGAAAATTAATTGCACTGCTCAATGGTTTAGCAATTACAGAATATAAATTTCCAAGAGCTAGTTTACTTTACTAATACCAGTGAAAATCCAGCCACACTTTTCAGAGCTTTGCTCACCAAAGTCTGAATTCCAATTTCATACTCAATGACCTAAAAGAAACTGAAGAAAAGGAACCCCACGTGCTCTCTGTGTTGACCTTCACATGCAGACACGGCTCATCTATTTTACAGCACTGAAGATGCATGGATAATAGATAACGCAAAATAACCCAGGCTGTCTGCCACACGGACCCCAACTGCCCTCCCTCTGCAGTGGGTGACATGTCTTTCCTCCCAAAAAGTAATCATAAACAGTAAAAGCACTGGGAAGAAAAACATCTCAATTTTTTCTCAATACTTTTGCTACATGTCCAAAACATTTTAAATAAACCAGGAGACTGGAGACTCTCTCTACAAAACTGGAGGTATAACAGGGTCTGCTGGAAAACGCCTAGCCCCACAGCAAGAGGAAAGAGGAACATCTCCCAGGCGTGCCCCAGGCTTCGTGGCAGGTGCTTGGTATGTCTCCTTCCCCGTTTGCTAACATGTAAAACATAGGCCAGTTTTACAAGGAAATGTCTTAGGATAAAGTTAAATACTTTTCATTATATGTGTATCAAAAAGGACTTTAAAGTCAGTTTTTGTAGAAATATACTATTTAATTGTAAAACAACACTCAGCACTGGATCCTGGGTGAGATGTCTGTTCTAGATATTGACATCATCTGCCTCCCCCAGAAGAAATACTCACAAATTACATGGCTCTAAAGGAATATAATTTTGTCCACGAATTCTCATACATAACAGGATTATCATAGTAATAAATTTCACTCTGAAATATGCTAATCCAGATTCTACCTCTTAGCAACTGTGATGCCTGTGACTTACGATTTTTCTTCAGAAACAACTGAATAGTAAATTCTCATCTTTGCAAATACCACTAAGAATTTGGAACCATACACCAGCCCTCACACTAAATCCTACTACTTTTTCAAAAAACAACAAACAAAACTCAAGATGCTGATTTAATTCAGAGCATTTTTGAACTGGGAGCATTTGAAAGAAAATGGAAATCCTCTCTGGGGAATCTCACTTTTATCTCAGCCCTCGAAGAATGTCCCCACACAAAGCTATACAAAAGGAGTAGTTCACAGTCAAAAAATAAGGACACCTACAAGGAAATAAAGGACCAGGAGAGAAAAGCAGCTGAGATCACAGAAAGCAGACACAGGCTGCAAGAACGGGATTACAGACACAAACCGTGGGAGGGCAATAGTCTCATTAATTAAAGGCAAGCTTGAAAATGCACGCAGGCCCAGGTGATGAACACAGAGTTAGAGGGGCCACCCTGAGCGATTTCAAATGGGAACTGCCCAACTCGCCCCATTCCCAGGCCCTGCCCCCACGTCCCCAATGTCCCTCCCCCCGCCCTTACGCCCCTCTCCACACCCCCCCTGTTTCTGCCCCATGCCCCTCCCCCCACGCCCTCTCCACACCCCCCCTGTTTCTGCCCCAGGCCCCTCCCCCCACGCCCTCCGGGCAGTCTCTGGAGCGGTCCTGATTCGCCCTGCGCTGCCCCATAGGAAGGGGCCCTGGGGGTGGGGCTGCCTCGGCTTTGCCCCCAGAAAACCACGTGGCCTGGGGCGGCCTGACTCCGCGGTGCTTGATCCACTCCAAAGACGGGCGCCTGAGCCGGGAGGGAAGCCTGGGGAGGACCCCTCGGGGGCACGGCCCTGACCACGCTCAGACCCAAGAGGGCGCGGGGGGCGCGGGGGGCGCGGGCGCACTTACTCGAGCTCCTTGAAGCGCTCGCGGCCCGCCGCCACGTACTTGCCGCCCGCCTGCAGCGCGTCCAGCTCCAGCACCCGGTGCCCACGCGTGGGCGTGAAGAGGCGGCGCACGCCGAACGGGACGTCCACCTGCTCCGTGAGCTGCTCCAGCAGCGCCTCGAAGGTGGCCGCGCGGCGCCGCGACAGCACGAACTTCTTGCCCACGTAGAACGGGTCCCCGTTGCGGTACACCACGATGGTCTTGGCGGGCGTGGTGTCCACCAGCGCGGAGGGCCCGCGGGTGCCCATGGCCGCGCCCCGCTCCTCGCTCGCCGGGGCCGGGAGGCTGCAGAGCTGCGCCCAGGCCCAGGCACCGCCGACGGAAGGTCCTCTCCAGCCGCGGGCGCGGAACGAGGACGGGACGGGGACTGGACGGGGCTGCTAGGCGGGCGGAGGCTGCGTGTTGACGCGACCCTGGGCGATTGTGACCGCCTGGCCGCCAGGGCGAGGGGCGCGAGGCTGGGGCAGGAGGGGGGCAGCGGGGAGCCCGGGCAGGTGAGGGGCGGCACCGGGCAGGGACAGGTGATTGGGTAACGGGGAGACCAAGCAGGTGAGGCGCGGCACAGGGCGGAGACAGGTGAGGGGGCAACGCGGAGCCCGGGGAGGTGACTGGCGTGAAGGCAGAGCCCAGGAAAGGAGGAGGAGGCCAGAATGATTGTGCTGAGCTCCCTGGGACGCCCACCGTGCCCCCTCCCCCTACACTCACCGCCCTCCTCTGTAGAAGCGGTAGAGAGGGGCGTTATGGAGGGACCAGGACCATATTGACAATCAACACTGGATGGGTGCTGGGAGCTGCTTCACATTTTTGAACCTCTGTTTCTTTGATCTTGGGTTGAATTTGACCGGTTCAGACCCAAAATCTTCTAGGACTCCTGGCCCAGAGTGGAGAATTTGAGCTTTTCCACCAGAGGAGGAGCTGTGCAGAGCCACTGGAGCCTGTGAGGGGCAGCGCTATAGCTAGCTGCTGGTGTGCAGTGTCAGGCGTGTGCCATTCAGAACGCACCCTCACTGGGGTTAAGAATGATTCAAAGGGAGAGGGGGTCTTTGGAAGAATCGTTCCTACTCTGGGTAAAGATAGGCCAGTCCTCTTGAGTGATTCTAGAAATATATTTTCCCAAAGGTTTTGATGAGCTTGACAAAGTTTCAAAGACAGTAGGCTACATGTTATGGCTGGAAGTCCACACCGAAGGTACAGAATATTGATACTATCAATATCAATATCTTATAATGCTAAAAAAAAAAAAAAAGTAGTTCCTTAGAGACCACCATTCACAGCCGTAGCCAGTATGTAAGCTACCAAATGCCTCATAGCAGCATTAAATACAGAGATTCATTTGTGAGATGACCACTTTATTAAATCACCAGGTGTTCAAAACACTTGAAGAGAAGACTATGACTGGGAAATTCCTGCTGTGTGTCTGACACCGGGACTTTGTGTGTGTTAAGGGTTTGCTTTGAAGCCCACCGAGAACTTCATCATGGGCTTCTCCCGGGGCCTCAGGAGGCAGATGGAGCTGGGGAAGCCCCGGAGCCGAAGGCGGCTCACTCCCCCGTCGGGGACGATGGTGAGCCTGGCGTGAGTGATGACATCTTGGAGCTCCAGGGTCAGGCTATCGAACAGGTGACTTTGGTTGGGAGACAGCTGAAAAGCAAGCAGATGCAGAGGTCCTAGTCTGTTAACAGGGCTTGTGTGGCCGAATGAGCCCACGCCCCAGGCAAACCTTTGGCTTGGACTTAAGCGAAGGGGCTTTAAAATAAGTTATTAATTGATGATAATTTGGCTTTCCATGAAAATCTGCTAGTAGGGATAGGATGCCCAAATAATACATGAATAATCAGGCCCCAATAAACAATTGATGGGCAACCTAAATGCCCACCAATTGTTTCTCCTAGTTGATTATACATAAGCAAATTGATAAGAAAATGAAAGAAGAGATCATCTTGGTCTCTCCCAGAGATTATTCCCTATCTTTACATGGGAGCAGCTCTCACCTCCAGCCTGACCCTCTTTCTAAATCAAAGAAGACACTTGTGGAATATCTCAGAGCGTCCACCTGCAGGTCCATTATAGCTTTAAATGTGCTAGTAGCCCCTTCTACAAAGTTAAACATAATGCAGAGACATGTTTCCATGTACATATTCTGAGCACGTAACAATTTTGTTCTAACAAAATTTGGAAATACAAAAGTGGAGAGAAATAGAGCCTTTCTTCTTATTTAAGTTTTCAGATAGGGGTTTTAAACCTCATTCATTTTACCATTAAACTGAGCAGAAATCTTGGAGTGTATCCTAATCCTTCAAAAGAGAATCTTAGGGAAATAGCATAGTCTGAGTGCTGGCTCCTAATAACATGCCACACGAACCTTGGTCACTGGCAGCAGTGGTTTCCACTTGTGGGCCGGGAGAATCCACTTTTGCTTGATCATGTCTTCTTCTTCTTGAGTTGTCAGGACGCACCCATCCACTTTACAGCTGTCAGGAGCATTACCTGTTGGAGCAAAACACAGCATGATTTTCTGCCGTCATTTACACTCAGTTTGGCATATAGGACATCATGCTTTTTTAATAAGATCAAAAACCCAGCAAAGAATAAGTTCCTGCTCTTCCTGAGCAAAAGCAAAGGTACGAAGTATGTGAGAGAAGGAACAAACTGGTTTGTGATGCTCAGATTGCCTCATGAAATAGACATTTCTTTTTCAGAAGACTCAGAAGCCATCCACCATATGTGAAGGGGCTGGCGCATTTCAGTTTGAATGTATAGCGTTCTCACTTTGAAATCTGAATGTATTTGATAAGCTTCCTCAATTGCAGATTTAATTACTTGCAGACTGCTATGTGGCTCATCTGAAATTATTATGAAGCTGGAAAATATTTTCCTATGACATATTTCTTAACATGACAATCAAAAGGAAATACTGAGTTTTATGTTAGCTAGCTCTGGGCGCCAGCCACACACATGTATTTAGGAATTTCTGAGTCATCTTCAGGTGAGAGTATATGGTCCTGAGATTCTTCTCTCTTTGGAATATCATAAGAATCGTGTGCTCAGTGGGGTTAGAGGACCTTGGGGGAAAGGTCCCACTCTCTTTGAGAAGAGAGAACTTCTGTTGGGGCTCTTTAGGATCAACAGAGTAGGAGCTGCTCATTAAGAACGGAAAAGAGGAGGCTATGGCTCACATGCCCCCTTTGTGGCCCATCTCTCAAAACGGTGGTCTCCAGGGTGGGCGAACATGCCCCTGGGGTACATACGGACACAAAGGACGCAGGAAGAGAACACTAGAGCTGCTATTTCTATTTGTCTGATATACATACATATGTGAATGTATATTAAGCTTTGTGTATTTGATATAACTTACTATATTATTGCTATAAGTGGATACCGCCATGCTCCCTCATTTCCATTATAGTCATCATATTGTATGTACCAGAGGTATCCTGAGTGATCAACAGTGGTAGATTCATGACCTGTTGCAGTTTTGGGTGCCTGCTTAAGTGGATATACTGTTTGTTATCTAGTTTTATCTAAAGCATCCCTCACAAAAATAAGTAAGTTATTTTAAACTATTCATGCAGAGAACTGTGGATTAAATATACCACAAAAAATGCTAGTATGTATGAACAAGAAAATCCAGAACTGCCATTTCACCTGACCCTCAGTCAGCCACATTGAAAAGTAAAAACCATGGCTACATAACCGGATCTAAAATGCAGTCTTAAAAAAAACAAGCAATGGGGAAATGACTCCCAATTCAATAAATGGTGCTGGGATAACTGACTAGCCATATGCAGAAGATTGAAACAGGACCCCTTCCTTACACCATATATAAAAATCAACTCAAGATGGATTAAAGACTTAAATGTAAAACCCAAAACTATAAACACCCTGGAAGATAACTTAGGAAATACCATTCTGGACATAGGAACTGGCAAAGATT